TGCAACTCAATAAATCAAAGACCCAAAACACCAAACCTTGGATTCTTTGAGCTGGTGGTGGTTGAGCTGGTTGAAAATCCATATGTACAAGGCTTGACCAGATAAAATAAACACCAATTTTGGTGTTAAGAACTAGATTCATTGAGCTGGATGCCGGTATGGAGGATAACATGAAGTTGTAACCGATCAGGGTGAATGCTTTTATCCTGCTGCATAGCCTCCGTCCCCAGAAACCAATAATATATTAATCGGAGGAGTATTCCCTATGTATTATGTATAGAGATAAGTATATATGATTAGGATTAAGTCTTCTTTAGAGTTAATGGAGAAAATAATCTTAATAATGGAGAAAACACTTGTACATTCTTTTTCATTAATGAGAAAACACTCTTAATAACAAAGAGTTAATAGAGGTGATTAATAAATGTGTTCTTTCCAAAATTATCACAATAATACACAATAATTTTACGATGAGAGTTGTTTTTCTTGCATCAATGACATAATTTTTGTAACCAGCACTTGATTAGAGTGATTTTTATATCATTTCCTAAACTATCCAAAGATGTAAACTAAACTAGATAAATTTTCTATGTGCAGTTTTTCAAACCATAACACTGATTGAGATTGAGTAACCATCCTTCCTGTGGGTGCTTTATGGAAATTTCATTGATGAAATAAAATACTGATGTTTGTGATCTTGCCATATTTTCAAACCCTTTTAAGTCTTGCCATATTTTCAAAGTACCTTGCCAATTTGCAAGGCTTCCCAATTATATGATTAGAGAAATTTTGTAGAATATTCCGCAAGAACATGGTAGATGAGAGAAATTTTTAGTTTTTGAACAATCATACGTCTTTATGGAGTTTGACCACAAAAGTTAATAAATAGTCTGGTAAAACAACAACTGTCTTTGTCTTCTTATATGATCATCAGTATTGGACCGCAATTGGATACCACATACTCTACTCATTGTGTTCTTAATGTTACACCAAACTAAATTCAAATCTTTCTTAATGTTTTCAATCCTCTTAAACAGAGATCTACCTTGTAAAGTGTGTCTTCATTCCTATGTATGAAGTCATTTGTTGATGTCTAAGCTTTCTTATAACCGTTAGTTCCTTTGTTCCTGAACTGAAAGCTCACCATATGTTATGTTGTTTCCCATATGCACTTTTCCTTGTGCTAATACATGTTCGACATGGAACAAACCAAACAACAGAAACCTGCCAACATAATTTCTTACCCTTGGATAATCCGTGCTGACACAACAAACCCTTTTGATGACCTCACAACCTGCAATTATCTCAGATTCTTCATGAGCCCTTTAATCTAATCAATACCCTCAAGACTAATACCCTTGTCTTCTAACAATTTGTGTTAATACCAACAGAGGACCTGATGAATCTGATTTCTTTCCCTTGAAGCTGCTCCTCCAGAAGACATTTCCCTCAAATCTTAACCTTAAACTTTTAGAATCCCCATGTAAATAAGACATTTCCGTTTGGGGTGGTCCGTCAGAGAAACTTTGCATTCGGTAGCACTTGATTTAATATATGGTGATTGTTGACCAAAAAAAAAAAACTTTAGAGTCCTCTGAGATACACATTCTGCAGAAAACTACTTCATAACATGTTACCTTTCTTCTTAGAATCACAAAACCTTAACCATTTCTCAAATAGCCATGTACCACGTAATCTCAATCCTTAAGGCATCCCCTAGTTCTAATAAAAGAAAATCAGAGTTAGATCCACAAAAGTTAAACAAGTGTGACTAGTTCCAATAATAATTCCGTTTAAAACTTAACCAACTGGTGGTGGTATTGTGGTAAAAAAAACTTAAGGAAAATAGGTAAATCCTTCTAACTTGGGTTCGATTTGGAACAGTTTCACTTCTACTTGGCCAGTTGAAGTGATTCTTTCACTTGTCTTCTCTGCTTCGTCTTCCTTGTAAAGCTTTTTTCTTTCTTTCTTCTTCATAGTTTGATAATAATGGCGAGTAATGGACAAGGTCCAGCGATCGGAATCGATCTCGGAACTACTTACTCTTGCGTGGGAGTTTGGCAACATGACCGTGTTGAGATCATTGCTAATGATCAAGGTAACAGAATGACGTCGTCTTACGTCGCTTTCACTGACTCCGAGAGGTTGATCGGTGATGCTGCCATGAATCAGGTCGCTACGAATCCAATGCACACCGTTTTTGGTATGTGATTTCAATTTTTCTTTTTATTTGGTTTTTAGGGTTGGAACAAAGAATTTGACTAAACTCTCTGTTTCTTTTTTTTGGGGTTTAATTGTGACAGACGCAAAGAAGTTGGTGGGTCGTAAAGCCAGTGACGTAACGGTCCAAAGCGACATGAAGCTATGGCCATTCAAGGTTATTTCTGGACCGGCAGATAAACCAATGATCGTAGTCAACTACAAAGGTGCAGAGAAGCAATTCTCTGCTGAAGAAATCTCTTCGATGGTTCTGATCAAGATGCGTGACATTGCTGAAACTTACCTTGGCGCTTCGGTCAAGAAGGCTGTGGTTACTGTTCCTGCTTACTTCAACGACTCTCAGCGTCAAGCTACTAAAGACGCTGGTGTTATCGCTGGCTTGAACGTTATGCGTATCAGCAACGAGCCTACCGCTGCAGCTATCGCTTACGGTCTTGACAAGAAAGCAACTAGTGTTGGTGCGAAGAATGTTTTGATCTTTGATCTTGGTGGTGGTACTTTTGATGTCTCTCTTCTTACTATTGAAGATGGTATCTTTGAGGTTAAGGCAACAGCTGGAGATACTCATCTTGGTGGCGAAGATTTCGATAATCGAATGGTGAGCCATTTTGCGCAAGAGTTTAAGAGGAAGAACAATAAGGATATTAAGGAGGTTGAGAACAGCTTGTGAGAAGGCAAAGAGGATTCTTTCTTCCACCACGCATTCGACTATCGAGATTGATTCTTTGTTCGAAGGAGTTGATATCTATACGAAGATTACTCGTGCTAAATTCGAAGAGCTTAACATGGATCTGTTCATGAAGTGTATGGAGCCTGTTGAGAAGTGTTTCAGTGACTCTAAAATGGATAAGAGTAAAATCGATGATGTCGTTCTTGTTGGTGGCTCTACTCGAATCCCGAAAGTTCAGCAATTGCTTCAAGAGCTCTTCAATGGTAAAGAGCTATGCAAGTCTATTAACCCCGATGAGGCTGTTGCATACGGTGCAGCTGTCCAAGCCGCAATTCTAAGCGGTGGAGGAAACGAAATGATCCAAGATGTTCTCTTGATCGATGTCACATCTCTCTCTCTCGGTATTGAAATCGTTGGTGAAGTCATGTCCACTGTGATCCAGAGAAACACTACAATCCCAACCAGGAAGGAAAGAGACTAAACCACTATCTATGACTACCAGACTTCAGTGTCGATCCCAATCTACGAAGGCGAGAGAGCTAGATCCAAAGACAACAACCTCCTCGGTCAATTCACTCTCTTTGGAATCCCTCCAGCTCCTCGTGGTGTCCCTCAGTACATTGTCTGCTTCGACATTGACGCAAACGGTATCCTTAACGTCTCTGCCGAGGAAAAAACCACTGGCAGCCAGAACAAGATCACAATCACTAACAACAATGGTCGTTTGTCTAAAGACCAGATTGAGAAGATGGTTGGAGATGCTGAGAGGTACAAGTACGAAGACGAGGAGTACAAGAAGAAGGCTGACGCCAGGAAAGCTCTCGAGGACTATGTTTATAACATGAGGAACATAATCCGGGACGCGATCGGACCTAACCTTTCCGCTGCGGAGAAGAAGAAGTTTGAGGACGCGATTGTGGAGGCGTTTCAGTGGCTTGAAGGTAACAAATTTGGTGAAGTACACGAGTTTGAAGACAAAATGATGGATTTGGAGAGTATTTGTAAGCCGATCATCACTAAGATGTATCAATGAAGCTCCTCCTTCCTCTGCAGGTGGTACTGGTCCCAAGGTTGAGGTAGTCAACTAAGCTCTATAGTTCTCTTAGTTTCTTTTTGGTGTTCTTTTGGATGTTCGAATTCTCCACAGTTTTTGATATTTGGAAAAAATAAAGTTAAAAAGTTACAATTAAAAATTGCATTTTCTGCTTTTGCTTATTTCCCATTGTACACAATGCATCTAAAGATTATAAACCTC